AATTCTCCAATGGTATAGAAAAGGGAGCAGCCGCAGGGGATGCATTTGGTGGGACCCAAGATATTAAAAACCCCAATTTTCTCTAAAGTGTTATAACTTTTTCATTTTTAATCCAATTTTTAAAATAAATATATCAAAATTCATAATTTTTTGTGATCTTTCATTTGAGATCAATATTGAATATATAAAAATATAATTTATTAACGGTCTCTATAATTATGCTTCAAATTATATATACATTTTTTAATCTATTTTGGCGTCTGAATTGGGGAAGTCATTGTAGGTGATCATTTTTAGCTACATTTCATAAAATGTTTTTCTTTATTTCATTAATAAAATTAATTTAAAATAAATTTATCCATTCACCAAAAGATTCAACTAAATCAACCACTTCTCTCAAAATTCATCCATTTCAACTGATTCAACTAATTTCTGTACTACTAAATGGTCTCTAAAATCAAAATCAGACCATGTAAGGAAAATCTAAAAGTACTAAATTTATTTAAGAAAACTTTCTTAAAGTATTTTATGATTTAATGTGCATTGTTTTCATATATAAAAAAATGCGCAAATGAAAATCTAATTACTTCTAATAAAAAAAATTGAATTGGTCTATTTACTTTTGTTTTGAGTTGGTCTAAATTGAAGACGATGAGTGATTTGCATTCATCAATTGTATGATTAATAAAAATCTAATCTTATTTTCATTTCTATTCTACGCCCTTGGTTAAACTATTACAAACCTTATTTCTTTGTATTATAATGTCACTCAAGAATAAAACATTAGCAAATGAAAATAATAAAAACATCAAGTGCTAATAAAAAAACTTCTAAATTTAGTTCAATTTATAATTCTTTATTTTAAGGAAAAGGGGCAAATATGAAAAAAATGACTTATTCGGCTGAAGTTACTTTACATAATCATTTTTAACTACTTTTCATATAATCTTTTATTTACTTCATTAATAAAATATAATTAGTTCTTTTAAGTATAAGACAAAATTATCTCACATTTGAACGGGATAACTTTCTCTCTCATTTGCAGTGCTTTTTAATAAGATAGTAACATAAGCCAACCAACAATTGAGCAGGAAAATTTGTTCTTTCACATGTGGTGCTTTTAGATATAAAAAAGATGAAGCCGGGTAACAATTGAATGAGATATTTCTCTCTTTCAATAAGTAGTGCTTTTAAGTATAATATAATCCAACTAACAATTGAGAGAGAGAAGTTTTTGTATCTTATATAATGCTTTTGGGTATAAGACAAGCCGGGTAACAAAATGAGCGGAATAATTTTCTATCTCACATGTACTATTTTTAGTTACTAGAAGATAAACTTGCTAACAATTGAGAGAAAGAACTTTCTCTCTCATTTGTAGTGAATTTTAGTAAGATAAGACTAACAATTGAGCGAGAAAATTTGTTCTTTCATATGTGGTGCTTTTAGATATAAGAAAGATGAAGCCATAAGCCTTCTAACAATCGAACAAGATATTTCTCTCTCTCAAAAATCAGTGCTTTTAACTATAACATAATCCAGCTAACAATTGAGAGAGAGATTTTATTGTATCATATATAATGCTTTTGGGTATAAGACAAACCTGCTAACAAATGAGCGAGATAATTTACTATTTCATACGTACTATTTTTAGGTAGTAGAATATAAACTTTCTAACAATTGAGCAAAAGAACTTTATCTCTCATATATAGTTCTTTTAAGTACTCCCTCCGTCCCTAAATAAACTTCCAACTTTCCTTTTTTGTCCGTCCCAATTAAAACTTTCACTTTCCCTTTTTGGTAAAGAATTTGTGGTTCACAACATTTCTTACACATTTCTCTCTCCTCTGCACAACTCTCACCACACAATACCCACTATCTTAAACTGTGTGCCAAACCTATTTGGAAGTTTTATTAGGGACGGAGGTAGTATAAGATAATCTAGTTAACAATTGAGGGGAATTGAGCGGGAGAATTTTATCGCTTATATGTAGAGTTTTTAGGTATTAGAAGATAAACTTGCTAACAATTGAACATAATAACTTTCTCCCTCATATGTAGTTGTTTTAAGTATAAGATAAGAAGACTAAACAATTGAGCATGATAATTCTCTCTCTCATATGTAGTGCTTTTACACATAAGAAACTAAAAAGATAAACTTGAATTTGGTTATTATGTGGACTTCCAATTGTGTACATGCAAACGAGATAGACTTACAATAGAGTTTCACGTGATTACTAATGTAGTAACTGGCTAAAATTCATTTACCTTTTTTTTTTACTCAACCACAACCTCATGTTTTTAATTTATTCCCACATTCTTAAATCTTAACGATCCAAGTCAAATCGAAAAGAATTTTATGGAGGGAGTATCGTCATCATCATCATTGTTATTGTTATGGTTGTTGTTGGTGTTATTATTATTATTATTATTATTATTATTATTATTATTATTATTATTCATCCATCAAATTACCTTTAAAAGTAAAGAGAATGAGATAGACTTATGAAAGAGTTTCAGATGATTTCTTAATAATATCTTTATAATATGTAACTGACTCAAAAATATAAATATACTTGAATGTGGTTACTATTGTGGACTTCCAATTCAATACATACAAACAAGATAGACTTATGAGTACCCTCTATTGCTCAAATATTATTTCTGAAAAGATCTCTATAATGAACATAGTGGTAGAAAGAGTATCATATAGTACCTTAACTTCAAATGATTTTTTAAAATCATGTTCATAGTATCACAGTTTTGGGTGAGAGAGAATCAAAGTTGATTTATCAATAAATGACGAAATGATCTGGTTCTTACATAAAATTTATTTGTTCACGAGTCAATGGACCATGAAAGAATCACTAGAGTAGATTATCAACTCAAATAAGAAGCTAAATGAAAATAAACTCGCGAGTCAAAAGTTCACACTATTCATGATAATAAACTTGCATAATAGAAGTTCTTGCAATCAAAAAGATATACTCTATGAAAAAACTCAAAGAACTAATTAACCAATTCAATCTAATGGTGGAAAGTTAATCAAAATGGAATTATGTAACTAAGTACTGAAAATGTGGAAGACGGTGAAACAAAATTGTTATTAGGTGAATCATAACAGATTTGTGGAGGATGTGGGATAGTTTTCTCTCTTATATATAATATTTTAGGTATAAGATAAGTTGGCTGAGAATTGAGTGGAATAAGTTTCTATCTCATTTGTAGTGTTATTAAGTATAAGATAAGTCGACTAACGATTTAGTGGTCAAAATTTCTCTCTCATATGTAATGCTTTTAGGTATAAAAAGATAAACCAACTAACAATTGAGCGGGATAACTTTGTCCCTCATTTGTAGTGCTTTTCAGTAAGATAGTAAGATAAGGCAGCTACCAATTGAACGAGGAAATTTGTTCTTTCATATGTGCTGCTTTTAGATATAAGAAATATTCAACCATAAGTCGTGTAACAATTGAACGGGATATTTTCCTCTCTCTCAATAAGCAGTGATTTTAACTATAACATAATCCAACTAACAATTGAGAGAGAGAATTTTTGTATCATATATAGTGCTTTTGGGTATAAGACAAGCCGGCTAACAAATGAGCGGGATAATTTTCTATCTCACATGTACTACTTTTAATTATTAGAAGATAAACTTGCTAACAATTAAGCAAAATAACTTTATCTCTCATACATAGTTTTTTTAAATATAAAATAATCCAGCTAACAATTGAGCAGGATAATTTCTCTCTCTCATATGTAGTGTTTTAGGTATGAGGTAAGCCGGCTAACAATTGAGCTGAAGAACTTTCTCTCTCATATGTAAGAGTTTTAGATATAAAAAACATAAGCTTACTAATAATTGAGCGAGAGGATTTTTTTCATATGTAGTGCTTTTAGGTATTAGAAGATAAGATAGCTAACAATTGAGGAGAATTGAGCGGAAGAATTTTATTGCTCATATGTAGTATTTTTAGGTAATAGGTAATAGAAGATAACTTTGCTAACAATTGAGTGGAATAACTATCTCCCTCATATGTAGTTCTAAGTACGAAGTATAAGATAAGAAGACTAAACAATTGATTGAGATAATTTTCTCTCTCATATGTAGTGTTCCTAGGCATAAGAAGCTAAGAAGATAAACTTGCTAACAATAGAGTGAAAGAACGTTGACTCTTACGTGTACTTCTTAAGCGGGATAATCTTCTCTCTCATATGTAGTGTCAATTAATTTTTCCTAATATACTCTTCATTGAATATATATTTTATGGTATTAGCTTATTGAACTACTATTTTTTCTCTCGAAAATGTAGAATCCTAAACAAATGTTTTTATTTTAATATTTAATTAGATTTACACCAACTGCTGTATCCCGTGCGTATGCACGGGTACTATACTAGTATAGCCGGAAAATGAACCACCCAACCTAGCTCTCCTTTTTTACTTTCTAGGAATTTAAATATGTGGAATTACGGTAAAAGGAGAAGCAGATTATAGAGAATGGTCCACGAGTCCACGACCATGAGAAATGCATTGCGAGCAAAGAGGAAGCCGTTGAGTAAGGGCCGGCTCAGGGGCTGTGTGGGCAGCCCAATCGCATAGGGCCCAAAAATTGGACGGCCCGGGGAAAAAAATTAGTACTACTACTAGTTAGCCACTAAGCCCAATAGCAAAATTAAAACAAAGGTATGGGAGTGACGGGCTGAAGGCGCGAGGCAAAGGGGAGGGGCAACCGGCGAACTGCGATTCTGCTAAAGATCAGACGAGCGACGAGCCGACGAATCTCCATCTCCGGTCACCTTCCAGAGTTCCAGGCGAACAAGCTCCGTTCCAGTCAGGCGTGGACTCAGGCCGGGCCGGGCTGGGCCGGGTCCGGGTCGGGCCTAGGCCCGAGCGGGCCGGCGGTTCAGAATTGGTGGACCCGGGACCGGCCCGGCTCAAAATTGAGCTTGCCATATACTTCGTATAAATTTCCAATTTCGAGAATGACTTGTATTGAAAGCTTCGTTTTTATAACTATTGCCATTTTTTGCAACAATTAGCACCAAATCTTTTAAATAGTTGATGTGTGCTTGACATATTAAAATGATTTGTTTGTATTGGCTTAAAATGTAAATTGCGTGAGACTTATAAAAATATTAAATTCAAAAAGTCACGAAAAACATTGTACATTATTTCAAAAATTCAATCCTCTTTTCCATCTTTCTCCAAATTCTTCATTCAAAACCTTAGATATGAGTATGATTTTCATCGTCAATGGGATCATCTCTTCCTTGGATGATTGAGAGCTTTCGTAAAAAAGTGTTAAACTCCTCATCCTTGGACACCATACTTATCCTTGCAAAATTGCTTTCAACGCCAAATCTGGTTCCAATTCTCGCAAGAATCTTGTGCTCCTTCAGCAGATCCACACAATCCACCTCTCCCTTGATTGTTTTCATCCACGCAAAAGCTATTTTCAAAATAATGAGAAAATTCTTTAAATAAGATTAAAACATAAATATTATTATAAATCGTGAGTAAAATAAGATATTCACTCTTTATTGGAAAAGTTTTATACTAATAATAAGATTAAATATTTCTAATTTTGGGAATAAAACATAGTTAGTTTTATTTGTACACTTTTGTCTGAACGTTCGTAGCATATATATGAACCAAAAGACCATAATTATTAGGAAATCACATTTTTTTAAAAAATATACCTGGAAGTGTCTCGGTCATGGATTTGGCAAAATGGCAGTATAAAATGGGATATTTTTGGACATGGAATAGATCACTACCCTTCACAACTTGTCTTAAGCTTTGCCATCTCTCCTTCAAAATATTTCGGCTATAAGTAAAGAAGTCATCACCACTAAAGCAGCTATCTGAGACAACTCCAAGGATCTTAGCTGCTCTCAGTTGGGAGTCTTTGGATACCCCAATTGTGCTCACCTCTATAAACTTTGTCATCTTCTTTGCAACTTCTTTATTCCTTACAATAGCCCAACTACAATTCATATGTAGATAGCTATATTTTATTATAAAAAGATTAATAATGATACAAAAATCACTACATAAATAGCCATTTATTTCAATATTTGTTTAGATTCAGTATTTTAATATGCCTCAGGTTAAATCCGTACAGAGATAAATAAATGAAATCACAAATTTAATACTACGTACCTGAAAAAGAAAGTAACAAATTTTTATATAAATAGAAAAGAAAAGTTGACATTATCGAGTAAGATGGAGAAGTATGTAATTATTTAAATTGACCCTCCCCAACATTTCATCTTGCCTACATCACTCAGCATAAGGATGTTATTATATACTTAATTTAATTAATTTTCATAACAAGTAATTGTAAATATGCGATGAAAAATGCTAATTGTACACACTGGATTACATGTTAGTTTACACATTATGTATTATTTGTGCACAAACAATCGATTTTCATTTTAGTAAAGCAAATTGTATGTGTCCCCGAAAAAGTGAATTGTCTGTGCACATAAAATTCGAGGTCACAAACAACTCCCTTTACTAAAATGAAAATCAATTGTCTATGCATAGATAATACACACTTGGCGTGTAAACCAACATTACACATTTGGCGTGCAAACCAACATGTAACTCATCGTATATAAGTAACATTTTTCATATGCAATAGTCTACCTAATTTCATGTATTCATCAATTAATGACTAATTAAGTGGTAAGAAATAATTGTTTTGCATTTAATAGCGATTCATTTAATAAAATGCTACAAATTAAAAGAGAAGAGCAATTTAGTTTAATTACCCAATTCTTGATCCAGCATGGCCGGTGCACTTGGAGAAGGTGAAGAGCATAAGGTCGTGGCTAGGTGCAGAGGAAATTGCAGTGTAATGTGGCCAATAATAAGCAAAGTCATAAATAACAGTTCCTTGAGGTCTATTAACCACAGGTTCCCTAATGGCCCCATCAGGGTTATTTGGAGTGGTTACCAGCTCTATATAAGCTTCCTCTTTATCAAAATTCCTTGCATCTCCTCCCCATTTGTAGCTCCTCGATCTTAGTAGGTTTGCAATTTCTGGATATGACTGCATGCAAGAGGCAATCTTAGAAGCTTTATTACATCAAATACCATATTAAGATTGTATTTCGATGAATGAGACGATGCTGAAGTCTATTTGTATTGTCTGATTTAGAAAATACATATTATTATTTAGATTTCGATAAAATTGTTGAAACCAGAAATACTTGTTGGAGAAAGTAGACCCATTTAGTTACATGGATGAACTAACGACTAAAAGTTGAAAAATTATCATAACAACAAATATGGTCTTATAGAAGAGGGGTTTTAATTAAAGAGCCATATATAACTTCTCTATGGAGTCGGTGACTTACGTGGACATCACCATGACCACACATTCTTTAGTGAGGGGTTTCCACTTCAAAAATATGTCGTGTTGGTGATGTCACATAGGCCACATGCAGTGGCGGAACCAGCTCGAAGATGTTGGAGGGGCACACATAATGGGAAAGAGAAGGTCTCCGACAACTCGACAAAGTGACCGGCCTGCTGCGGTCCAAAATTCAGATCTCCGAGAAGGCGGGCGGCGGCAAGAAGATGTGCCGAAAAGGTTGTGGCATGCAAAATTACGAAAGGGAGGGGAACAAGTCGGGAGGCGAGAAATTAATTTAGGGCCTAAATAAAACCTTGAGTTATTCTCAAGCTTGCCAAGCATTAGTGTTGACCCACAATTGTCAATTAAAGGCCCAATTTAAATCCAAAATAAGTGATAAGCAATTGAGATGGTCTCCATAGTAAGTACGGACTACAACAATAGTAATAAATTTCCATCTTTTCCTTTCCTTCTCGCCGACACACGAACACCAACATTAGAGTAATAAACCATGCGAATAGGTCCCTTTGTTGTTGTTCTCTAGTATATGTATATATACTAAACAAACAAAAGTCTGCAGGGGCACGTGCACCCCCGAGCTCTATACTAGTTCCGCCCCTGGCCACATGACTCCATTGTAGGAGTCATGTATGGCTCTTTAATATTTACATGATAAAATTTGAATAGCAGAAGGATAAAATTGACATATTTTACCCGACTAAACTGAAACACTACAACTAATAACGTTTCAAATTAAGTGATTATTTTAAATTAAGCCAAGTTCTATTCTTCATGTGGATTAATCTTCTGAATTGGTCAAATTTTACTTCATCTTGAGCAGAAATCAGAGATTAAAATACGTTTATGTTTAATCGGCCTAGTCCGGCCTCCTACTCCTTGTATTTCCTCATTTTTTGAATAAAATGGTGAGGTGTTCCCCGGCCCTCGCCCCAAAACCTCCGTTTTGGTCTCTTACCGGTTCAAAAAAATACGTTTATGTTTACTTTTATTAATCAATCGAGTAAGGGGTAGAATTTTCTCAATCAACTCCCAAATTACTTTAGTTATGCTCATTCAGGGGGTGAAGTGGGTAACTCTATATTTTCGAACTCTTCCATCGAATATAGATAGCATCATTATGTCAAATCCCAGTTAGACTAATCTAATACTCCACTATGTATAGTCTAATCTCTCTTTAGGCACGCAATCATTTAGTCTTTCGGTTCCAAATATCATTTACAATGGGGTCCCAAGCATCACCCAGCAGTTAAAAACTGTTTTTTAATACCTATTTAGAGTTTAGAAAATGAAATGAGTTTAAAAGAGTGCTTTAAAGTATTTTGACAAATGAGACAAGATACTGATCGAAACATAAAATATGACATATATATGTGATTGGAAGGGGAATGCTGAATGCGACATACCCATACAAGTCATGATATGCTTGAGTGAAAATGAAATTACGCCATATAGATAGATGCCAAGGAGTCTATAAGAGAGATTTTGTTTGGATTTTCTGATCTTTAATGTCAACATTTGCCATTATTGTTCATAATTACTTATTTAAAGTACTCCGTATATAATAACTCATTATTCAAGTCATATACACATTAAAATAAAATGTTCAATTCTGTTTTGTCATAATGTTATGAGAAAATAATTTTAAATATTGTCAAGTGCCTCTCATAAATCAATAACAATATGTAACTAAAAAATAACTTTTAATAACACATATTATTTGAATCTATAGCAAAATTTATATGGAACTTTTATCTGACTATAAATCTAGCCATTTACCACATCAGAAAGTCATATGGAGTATATATCAGATTTAACAATCAAATACGAGTACAAGTTATCATGAAACGGGGTCACCAATATAACATTAAGATATACTCCCTCCGTCCCAATTTGATGATCTCATTTCTTTTGGGCTCAAATATTAAGAAAGTGGTTGAAAAGGTAAAAGTTGTGGTTGAGATTTGAGGATAAAAAGGTGAAATGATGTGGACCACATATTTCTTTCCAAAAAGGGAAATGGGACTATCAATTTGGGACGGCCCAGAAAGGAAATACGGGATCATCAAATTGGGACGGAGGGAGTAACTTTTTGCCGAGTAAAATGATCCAACTTCTAATGAGAAATCATGATAAAAAAAATGAGAAATGGGAAATGGTTATGTATCACTTTTGTTATATGCATAAATAGTCGGTATTATTAAAAGCTACTACATCCGTCCCATTTTATGTGTCTCATTTGGTTTTGGTACAATTTTTAATAAAGTGGTTGAAAAGGTAAAAATTGTGGTTGAGATTTGAGTATAGTAAAGTGAAATGTTGAAAACCACATATTTCTTTTTAAAAAGGGAAAGATGAAACTTATTTTGGAACTTCCTTAAAAGGAAAGTAAAATTGGTAAAATGGGATGAATGGAGTATTTCAAAAAGTACATATTACTACTCATATATGAGTAGTAGTAACTAGTAAATGCTACTATTTCAAAAGTACATATTACTACTAGACTACTAGTATATGAGTGGTGATAGTTATTATTTAAAGTTAGGCTCTTATATTAATTATTATTAGGTGTAATGTTATTTGAGCATAAAATAAAGTACTCCGTATATAAACACTCAGAGTCTGTTTGGTAGCACCAAAATCGGCTGATTCTGTTGAAATTTATGAAATTCTAGCTGAAGTGGCTGCATTGGCTGATTATGCTAATTTAAGAAAAAAATATTTTTAAAATATATTTTATTAATAAAATAAAGTAAAAATTATATGTGAAAATAGCTAAAATGATCATCTACAGTAACTTCAGCCAATATAGCCAGAAAAAGTAACTTCAACCTTACTTTTTCGGCTTATTACACAGTTCAACGCGCGAAAGCAAAAATTGCGTGTTTGGTGAAAAAGTTGGCTGATAAGCCAAAAATGTGTGCTGCCAAAGGGCCTCTCAAATATGAAAAGGGTACGCCAGGATTTAAAAATAAATACTGCAAATATGATAAACACTTAGAGCCCGTTTGGTAGCACGAAAATCGGCTGTTTTGACTGTTTCTGCTGAAATTTATGAAGTTCTGGCTAAAGTGGCTGTTTTGGCTGATTTTGCTGATTCTAGAAAAAAATATTTTAAAAATATATTTTATTGATAAAATAAAGAAAAAATTATATGTAAAAATAGCTAAAATGGTCATCTACAGTAACTTCAGCCAATACAGCCAGAAAAGTAACTACAACCTTACTTTTTCTGCTTATTACACAATTCAGCACGCGAAAGTAAAAATTACGTGTTTGGTGAAAAAAATGGCTGATAAGCCGGATAAGCCGAAAAAAGAGGTCTCCAAACGGGCTATTATTTCTACAGCGGATGAATAGATTGCCTTTTTCTGTTGATATGTCGTACAAAACTACAAATAAGACATTTTCGCAATAAAACATAACTGCTCTTAGTTTGTACACTGTCCTTGTTTTAGCCCTATTTAGACATTGGAGCAATTTGCTATTTTATTAAACACATAAATAACAGTATTCACATTTTTGAAAACGTAATATATTGTTAAGTAAAAGAATCAAGAGTAAAAACATTTCAAGATTTCAAAATAAGATTGTCATATTTTTATTTCCTAAATATGAATTATTAATGCCAAATTTAGAAAATATTGCATGCATGACATGTTTAAATAAAAATATGACAGTTCTGTCTTAAAACTCATACCTATTTTTACTCATATCTAAGATAATTTCTGATTATATTATTATTTATATCAGGAAAATATTAAGTTTGTTTGTGCTTCGCCTATTTTCATTTTATCATACGTTTATTGACCATTGTACTGTCTTAATGCTTAGCTTCCTTCCACGATCGGATCTTTTATTAAAGTTTTCGTTCAAATCCATAAAAATAGCTTTAATATAATATAGGGAAAATGGAAACTAATAATCCAACCTTTTAGCTGTCTTCTTTCAATAATCCCACCTTTTGATTATTCATGAATAATCCAACCTTTGCACCTCATCTTCATTCATTGGTCCCTGGTCGGTTAATGACCTATTATTCCAAGTTATTTTCTTATCTTTCCAAAATATTATCTTTGTGGAAGATGAGATTTATGGTATAATGATCTGCAAAGATAAGAAAATAGCTTGGAATAGCAAGTCATCAACCGGTCAGGGACCAGTGAATGAAGATGAGGTGCAAAGGTTGGATTATTCATGAATAATCAAAAGGTGGGATTATTGATAGAAGACCGCTAAAAGGTTGGATTATTAGTTTCCATTTTCCCTATAATATAATAGTCTCTCTCCTTGACATCAACAAAAAAAATAGTATTCCCCTTGACATTACAAAAAAATCTTTACAAACACTATTCAATTCAATACCAAGGAATGTTAAAAAACCAACCCAATGTATAATCCTTTTGTAATCCCATTCTAACAATAACTACATGCAAGTATGCAACCATATGTTGAATTGAATCCCGTCATATTTGATCACTCAAAGATTAAGTAATTTTTTTTTGAGAGATCAAAGATTAAGTATTAGAAACATAAAAAGTTATAGTTCATAATATAATGAAGACCCAACCTTAGGAAACTCAAGCTTAATATGTTTCATGTTAAAAATATACTTGTATAGTAGTTATAGTTGTATATAATTATTAGCGTCAAACCAAATCAATACTGATTGTGCGACTCACATTCTACTATACTATCCTTTCTCAATTAATTAATTTGTGTGTTGTGCGTCACTGTTTCCCCGATTCGTTTTAGTTAATGATGACTCCAATTAATTAATCATAATTTTACAAGAAAGTGTTAAAAATCTCGAAATAATTTAAAATCTAAATATTCGAGCCAATCATTATGAGCATAAAGTATAAAACCAAAAATGTTAACATTATAAAATGTCAAACGATTTATATGTTGCAGACTAATATTTGCACGGATACCATTTTATTTTAATAATTCCGTCTCTATATAATTGTCTGACTCGCGCCAAATTAATATTCACACCTTTTTGGAAAGACATTTACCCAAAATAGCTACATTATACATTAGTTAAGTGCAAAGTATATATCAAAATTTTCTATTTTTACAAATGTGATACCTAAAGTCTAAATCATATAGCACATCTCCAAGCACATTTTAATCAATAGTTTTTGCCACTTTTCATTCTTTAATATTGTGTCGACACTTTTGTGAAACAAATTTTAATAATTTTCAATATTCACAACTTTTTATACTCCCTTTTTGTACTCCGACGAAATTTCTAGTTTGGTTCTTAATTAAGATATTTGGAGTGAGACACTTATGGTCATTGATTTTAAAATCCGATCATTTAGTCCCTTCACTACTGCAAAATGGACATGTAAGCCTTTCATTATCATTTTATCACAATTAGTAGATGAAAAAATGCTACTATGATAGTAGTTGAAGCGTGAAAGACATACAAATCACTTTTATGGAAAATTTAAAAAAAATGAAGAGAAAATCGCATATATGGTCCCTAAGTTATTTACGAAATTAAAACCTCAGACCTGTATTTCTGAGATTGTAAATGTCACCCCTAAATTGTCCAAAATGTTGTAAATGTGGTCCTTTTGAGGGATGAAAAAATTAAAATGTAGTACTAAAAATTATGTTACTGATATGATATAATTGTGTTGGTATTAAATGGTTGATTGATTAATGTGGGAGCATTTCAAAATATAAAGCACTAATAATTGTGTTGGTATTAAATGGTTGATCCGTTGATTGATTAATGTGGGAGCATTTCAAAATATAAAGCACTAATGTAGAAAAAATCTATAATTTCAAACTTATATGCTCCTTATTATAATGATGATAGGACATTGGGACTAGGATATGAGAAAAGTTAAAAAATATGTTGAATTTAAGAAAGATTTAGTAGGTCTTCCAAGAAAAAGATATGGTAGGGACATATACGGAAAAGACTTAAGGACGGGTCGGGGGCTGACCGAATAATAAGGAGCGGCACAAACGACGGAAATGGGCTGATCCGGATCTGGAGAAGAAAGTGCGTAAAGAGCGGCCTGAATAAGCTGGCTCGACCCACTTCCCACCACAATGCAATCCTCTTCTCCAACCGCCGCATTTCCAACAATTCTGTGAAGCCGCCTTATCTCTTCTTCTAGTTTCGGCTCCAGAAACCAGCATACGCTCTTTGTCTCAGAAAAGTAGCTTAGCGACTGACTTCCTGGAAAAGTTATGGTGCTTCCTTCACTCATCTTTTGCCAGTAAGGCACAAACATTGTTGGGTCACCGCTGCAATTATAGTAAATTTTATGTATCCCAAATCAACATGCACTTTCATAACATAACATAATTTTTGTTGCCAAAAAAAACATAACATAAGTTTTTGTGTGATGTGCCGAGCTAATATTGTCTCATATAGACCAACTCTTCATGTTAGTGGGACGGAGGTATAACTAAGCAATGAATTTTAGAGCCTCTTTGGTGATCCTGTTTGTGTAATAATAAGAAAAAGTAAGGTTGAAGTTAATTCTATGATTGTATTGACTGAATTTACGGTAGAGGATCATTATAGTTGTTTTTTCATATAAGTATTCCTTTATTTTATTTATAATGTATGTTTTAAATATAATTTTTTTCATAAATAAGCAAAATCAGTCCGTACAACCCCTTCAATTAGAATTTCATAAATATCAACAGAATAAGCCAACACAGCAAATTTGATTATTACCGAGCCGGCTCTTGATTTCTAATAAGAAAAATAAGTAAGACATATCTCACACTGGATTGATATACCTTAATAATCATAATAACTAATGTATAAAAGCTCCTGGATTACTCATTGGATAAGATCAAAGGGTAATATATATTAACATTATTGTATATTAATGTATTTTCCCTTCAAAAAAAAATATACTAATGTATTTTGTATCATCAATAAGTATTCGTAGCAATGACACCCTTAGATCCGTAGTTAATGGGGTTGGATGGAAATTCTTAGAATGGACTTATTTGCCAAATTGCAGTCAATAGGCGTCTGAAATATGTATCTGAAATCTAAAACCGATACAGTATAAGAAGAACAACTTACTGGTCAAGGTTGACAAAGGCATCGGCATTAAGTTTCCCATTTTCAGCAACGAATTTGGTAGGAGAAACTGCGACAGAGCTCTTCGCAGGAGAAGTGGTTTTAACTGTCACACCCATTCTCCCAACTCTCCTCTAATCTCGAGATTTTCCGATGTGAAAGAACCCCTAATTCTTTCCCTCGGTCCTTCAATATATAAAGATGATTGTATCTATATATACACATTAATTATTACATTCGTACCAAAAAGATCCTCTCACGTCTTTTTGGAATGTTTTTTTTTTTTTTTTTCTATTTCACCTTATGGAAATATGGAGTGATTTCGGTACCTAATATTCATTTATTTTTTATGAATCACAATCATATATTTTCACGATTTGCCAAACCAGGATTAAATGGAGTTTTGAATTCCAAAATATAACTACTACTTCTCGAAATAGAATTAACATGACGGTATTTACTGTCATCTTGTAGGTGTGATTGTCAGTATTTAGTTGCAGTACAATGCATTTAACATAACAATATTTAATTCATTATAAGTAATGTCAGTATTTTTCAATCATGATGGTATTTTTTATACATGACAATAACAACTCCTATTTTGGGAAGAAAAACATAGCGAATGTTTGGTTAGCAGCCCATCAGCCGTTTTTTTGACTAATTTGACTGATGTTTAGCTTTTTGACCAGATTTATCAGCTAATAAGATGTTTGGTTAGCTAGCTTTTTCATTTTGCTTTTTAACCCAAACAGCCAAATTATTAAAAGCTATGAATTATAGCGTTTTATGATTAGCAGTTTCTTATCTTTCACTTATTCCTTAAATACCCATGTGATCGACCACGTCCCTTTTTCTCGTATCTGACTCCGCTCCAGTGTTCCACTCGCCTAATCATCTTGGAGATATTACCCAAAATAGGACTAAAAAGGTTTGAAAATTCCAAAATAGGACTTCCACGTTTTTATTCCTAAAATAGGACTAATTACTGTCATGTTTTGACAGTACCAGACTTTAAACATGGCAGTATTTCCCAAACTTGACAGTAATTACTCCTATTTTAGGAATAAAAAACATGACAGTCCTATTTTGGAATTTCCAAACTGTTGTAGTCCTATTTCGGGAACTTTCCCATCTTCTTGCGACAAAGCTAACAAAGTAAAAAAACATCAATGAAGAGATCGAGCATGCGTGTATGTAATGAAATACCTCAAATATGTAGTGTTATTTTCTCTATTTCTTGAATTTAGCTCCAATGAGTCTTAATTATGACGGTGAAAGTCCATTTGAAGAAGGTTCAATTCATGAAGTTTTGTTATAAGATATCTGCGAACATTATTTTTGTTATAGTAATAATAATAATAATATTCCAAGAAAAAATACAAACGGTTAAGGCAGTTATAGTAATTACATTAACTAAAAATTTAATAATGTGCATAATAGTCATTTAACAATTTATCAGCGGATTATAAACAGTCATTTAACCAAACACCATTTTACAAACTGCTAATATAATCAGCTAATCAAAACAGCCAACAAAATCCGCTGTTATCAATCAGTCAACACAATCGGCTAACAGCCAACAGCCAATTGTCAAACACCCCCATAGTAGTCCTATTTTGGAATTCCAAACCTCATTTACTCCGATTTGGAGCAATTTCCCTATTTTCACTTGTTTACGTTTTCTTAAAAAAGAACGCACCAAAGTTAAACTTGGATTTTATTGTTTGGAACGGGGGAATAATTAATTGCAGTGACAAATTATATCGTGGGATCGGTGTACCATGCGCATGGTATACCGATCCAATACGATACCGTTTCACTGTTGCTTTCTGTTGATTTTGTTCTTTCTAGTCACACTGATCCCCCACTACCCATCATCCTTTCTTTTGTTCTTTTTGGTTCTTTTGCTTTAAATTTTTGTTAATCAAAAGCTGACAATCATTGAATCACTTTTTTGGAGTGATTTTTTTAATTTATGAAAACTGGCGTAGTATTACAATTTTGTAATCAAATTTTTAACATTTCAAAATAAATTAATTACTTTTTTCTATCTTAGTCCTTATTCATACACTTCTTTTTCTTTTTTCTTTCTTCAATTGAAATTACACAACAAAATTTATTTTTTATGTAATATCTTTTTATATTTATACACTTTTTTCCTAATATTTTTTTTCATATTCATACACTTTTATTTATATAATATATTTCTTATCTCTTTTATATGTTGTTAGTGTTTTAAGACATTATATTTGTTAATTTTGATTTACATTTGATAAAATATGAGATTATATTTTCATATGTATGGTTTACACTTTCACAAAATATTTTTTGGCAATTACAATTAAGTGAGCAACTACACTCCTTGTTTTTATTATTTATATTTGATAATATATGGAGTTACTTCTTCACATGCGCGAGTTACACCACTTTTATGTGTGAGTTACATCTTCCTCTATGTGAGTTACATTTGGACTTACCTCAACAAGTTATATTTTGCATATTAGATTTTCAATCAACGTGAGTTACATTTTCCATAACACGAGTTACATTACAAAATAAACCCCTGCTATTGGAACAAAAAAAAAACAATATCTTGCAAACAAATTTTTTTGGGGGGAAAATGATTTTTTTTGGAAAAAATATATTTTCATTTAAAACATTTTTATGGACTTAATACTAAAAACAAAAAATATTATCTAATTACTTTAATTAATTAAGTTAGTTGAGCAATTAGACTCATTGTTTTCATTGTTTACATTTGATAATATATGGAGTTACATCTTCTTATGCGCGAGTTACATCTTTTTTATGCTTGAGTTACATCTTCTTATGGGCGTGAGTTACATCCAGACTTGTCTTAACAAGTTACATTTTGCATACACCTAAGTTAGATTTTTCATCAACGCGATTTACATTTTCCATAACATGTGTTACATCACAAAATAAACCCTGCAAAAAAATCAGTTTTTTTTTCAAACAAACAAATGATTTTTTAGTAAAACGCTCATTTTTGGTAAAAAAAAATGTTTTTTTAGCATAAATAATTTTTGAAAAACATTTTCTATGGTCTTAATATTAAAAACAAAACATATTCCCTATTTAGGTAAAATAATTGAGCAATTAGACTCCTTGTTTTCATTGAAATCAATATTTAATTTCTTATTATCCGTATTAGACAAGTTACATTTCGAGCAGCTTGCAGTTACATTTCTAAGCAGCGAGAGTTACATTTTTTATACGCAAGTTACATCATCCTGCTCCTCGACAATGAAAAAAAAAAAGTTATTGTTCACGCGCGTGAACAGTAACCTGCGTTTTTGTGTGTGGGAGCACCATGCTCACCGTGGGCTGCTTCCACGCTATAGCAATTGATGAGTTCTTCCTAAACTCTTTCAGGATTTTACTCTCGATCGTCCTTGCCACAGTTTCGAGTAGGATAGATACTGTCATACTGATTATATGTATATTAGGTTGGATTAGTTTACTTAAAAATAACTTATTTACCTTAGTCATTCTAATATTTACTTATGGATTCGCTAGGCAGACCAAATCTAGTTTTCTACTTTATTTTATAATAAATAATACAGTACATAACAAAATAGTAATGCATTAATCACAAATGATACTTCTAAGAATCCAAAGATTGGGGAAGACAATAGTGACGATATTATATTGATATACTTTGTATACGTCTATGCAGGAACATGATTTTTTAATTTGGAAGCGCAAATGGACATTTAATTATTTGGTTATATAAGACCTTGCTATATACGACACTGTTAATTTCGGAAAATATTTCTTATTTAGAAAAGCTGGAATGAGTATTTCAAACATATACTTTTATTTAATTTAAACATTTAAAAGTTAAAATTAAAGCTCAAAACTTATACAATTGAACTGAATCCAAAATATCCTTGTGAAAATATACGTGCTTCTTGTTTTTTTTTTGCAAATAGTTCAAACTTTAAGAATGATTAAATTGGTAAACATATTGAACTGAATCCAAAATATCCTTGTTTTTCATGCTTCTGTCGTATCAACTCATGATCGCAAATTATACCGTACGTGGGATCGACCCACCATGAGCATGGTGTGCCGATTCCAATACGGTGCCGTTCCATTAATTAAAAACAATCATCTCTTCTTCTCGGTCAAGCTATACTCCTGGATCATATTCATCGTCCACTATCATATACCCTTCTTCTCCTTTATCCCCTTCGTGTCTGCTGCAGTGAATGAAACGCTGAAAATTCATGTGGTTCCTACTTTCGAATTCGTTTGATTTATCCCCTCCGCTATAGTGAATCGATACATATGTCGGTTAATTTAACTTGGCTTCCACCGACTAACAAAAGTGATGTGCTTCAATTCTGTGTTTTTTATTTTTCGAAAGGTATAATGCTTTTCAATTTCTGAAGCTTTTTGACCATTGAAATCCAGGTGAATGTACACGGCGAAGCTATGCATTAAAATGATCATATATTTTTGTGTATTAATGATGTTATTACTATTGTTTAAATTTAGTACTGAAGCAAGTTACATTTGATAATATATGAAGTTACATCTTATTATTCGCGAGTTACATTTTATTATTCGCGAGTTACATGTCAACTTTCTTCATCAAGTTACATCTCGCTTACATGTAATTTATATTTCCCATAATGCATGTTACATCACAATATAATGCGAGTTTTCCATAACACTAGTTACATCACAAAATAAACACCTTTTATTAAAACAAAAAAACTGTTTTTAAATCATTTTTTTTGCAAAAAATGATTTCTTGGGGAAAAATGATTTTTTTTAAAACATTTTATGGTCTTAATATTAAAAACAAAACATATTCACTATTTAGGTAAAATAATTAAAAATTTTGACTCATTTTTTATTGTTTACATTGAAATAAACGTTTTAAACAAATTACATTTCGACTTGTTAGTAGTAACAATTCCTTTTAACGTGAGTTACATTTTTTTACACACAGGCATCATTCTGTTACTGGGATTAGAAAAAGAAAACAAAACTAGTTTCTGTACACGCGTGTACTGTTCACGCGTGATTTTTTTTTAATTAAAAATGGGCAATACTATGTTTGGATCCAGGAGCAGGGTGATCATCCTGCGCCGATTCCACCGAACTCACTCATGACCATGTGACACCATTT